CTTATCATTACATTTTTTAATCTTATTATTTTTGATAATAAAAGCTTAACCTGGCATAGCACAATAAGTCAGTAAGTCAAACATGCACATCCTTACATACATTGTTGGCTTGACAAATCAAAACATTTTTCTTGTAATTTAATAATATAATTGTAGTGTCGCAATTTAGTTTTATTAGAAATTCTTTTCTTATTACTAATGAAAAGATTAATGGTTTGAACAATTTTATTGTTATAAAAACACATTGTGTAAGTCACATTGTATTACAATGTAACATCAGGCATATAAGAAAGTATTCTGTGAGTTTACTTCATATATGTATGTACTAAATTTCTTATAAAATGAAATTTGCTTAAGCTTTATTATTAAGTGAAGAATAAGCAAACGACTTTAAATTTCGAAAAATTTCGGGTTCTAATTTGAATAACGATCGACTGATGAATTGAATAAAAGCTCTTTAAAAATTACTTACGCTACATCCATAATTTTTAAAGACCTTTGTCTGATATCGAAAAGAATTCATTAAAAAAACCGGAAACTAAAAATCAACCGCCCGCTGTTGAAAAATTTTTAGAGACAATAGTGTAACAATAGTTTAACACTTTTTAAAAATCTGGCAGCCTAATAAAAATAGACTAATTTCTTGTTTGATTGTCTTGTTTGACGGCGTTTATCTTTCATTAGCCTCAGATTTAATCGTGGATTTTTTCGTATTTGTGAACATTGCCTAAGATTTTATAATATAACCCAAAATCAAACTATTTTGACTTAAAAACTTGCCTACACTCTACATGATTATTATAATGCTAAAGTATTGAAATTTTAACGCAATCAATATTCATTATTAAACTTTTATTCAAATTTAGGATCTTAAAAATGTGCATTAAAATCGTTTAATAAGGATTAAACTGGCAAAAATTGTTCCAATCTGAGAAACAATAAAATTAAACAAAATAAAAAAGGCAAAATGTCATTGAAATTATCTTGCAAACAATTTCGCTGCTCTTGAATTGAACTTAAATTCAAGTTGAGTTCAATTAAGGTAAAAACAAAGAATAAACAACATAAAACTAAATAACGAGCATGATTTTGACCTGAAAAACGACTTTTCTAAAATACATTGTACTAAAAGTATGTAGGTACTTATACCTAAACAATTAGAGGAAACAAGTAGTGATCTGTGTATGGAAATGCTATTTAAGAATATTTAAGAAGAGTTCAATGAATAGGATGATTATTACTTGAAATACGGCAAAAATGGTATCTTTTAATAATTCGTATTTTTTTTATTAAATATAAGTTCATGTGAATTAATCTAATAATGCGAGAAAAAATTTAAATTGAATGGTTGAACAGTTCTCATACAGCTCATTCATTTTGAGGAAATTTAAAAGTTAAGGTTATGGAGGCTCAATTTTAATAAATTGAGTATTAAGAAAAAGGCTTAGTAATATAAAAGTTTGCAAAAAGGAATTTCTATTTCTCTACCATGCAGTAAGTAATTAACAAAATTTAAATCTAAAAATATAATCGGATAATCGGATAAGATAAAGTAAAATGCATATAAAAGCTAAGGAAACACATAATCACAAAGCAAACAAAACAAACTCGCTACAATTCATTCAATTTACAGAAATTCAGAATAATGAAAATCAAACGAAAATTTTTGATAATAAAAGATCTAATCTTAATTGATAATAAGAAAGAGTAAAAGACTATGTGAAATTTGACACTAGGCAATCCAACATCAAAAGGCAAACCTAAGAAACCCGCATAACTATTCGAAAATTTACTTATATATTTTCAGAATACTTAACATTTTTGAAATCTATAAAACTTGGTTATTAAATCAGAATTTAAATTTTCTGAAAACTACTTTCGTTTTTCTTCCAATCAGATTGCAACCATATTGTTTTGCTACTATGCGTTTTTTGTAATTTCTTAAGTTTTCTTAAGCTGCGCATATACGTTTAATGTTCCCGAGTGATGCTATAAATTCGTTGTTTCATTATTTTTAGCTCATCCTGTCAGTGTTCGAATTCTAAGTAGTGATTCGAATTTAATAATTTTCGTTTACTATATTGATCATTCAATTAATTTACAATTTTATGTTAATTTAAACAAAAACTTCAATTAAAGGCGAACTAAAAAGCTAGTTCAAAACGTATTTAGGAACGCACCCAAAGTTTGCGTTAATAAGCTTAATTATGGGTTAACAATTTTCTAAGAAAAACGTGAAAATTTTGTGAGTACTGTTGTCGTACATATGTAAGGAAACAAGTTCCTATAGGAATATTCTATATAATTTTAGTTATTTATCAGTGTAGATCCAAAAAAGTAAATAAAAACTCCCTAAGCCGACTCGATTAACTCTTTACATTACATGTAAATTTATTAGTTTGATTACATTGCGTCTAAACATACAAAAACTCATTTAACACACGCATTTTTAAAATGATTTCGAAAGGATTGTGTTCAGTTGATATTGGGAAAAAAGAAAAGTTAAAAACAATTTGGATTTCACTTTTTATGTGGTGCTTGTTTTATAGCTTTTAATGACAGAAGATGTACATTTCATTAGGCGATACGATAAGAATTCCTTATTTTTTTCTCTTTCTTTGCAAATCAAAAGAATTTAATAGCATTGTGATTTTTTTTTATTGATAATCGCAACACTAAAAATTTTACGAGTTAAATTAAAGGTATGGAATTGTTATATTAAAATTGCTATTGTTCTAAAACCAATTAAATTTTGATGATTGTTTAAAACAAAGTAAAGAAAAATGGTAATAATAAGAAAAAATTAAACAAAACAAAAAAAAATGTTGAATTCTTAAGGATATCGATAAAATATCAAACATTTTTATTTTCATTCCATTTGTATGTAAATTACCCTTTAGCATATTTGAAGTCGAAAACAATTGCATTTTCAGATTTATTAACTCTTTTTTTTGATTATCTATTTAGTTGAAAAATGTTTAAATTTTTATGTTGCGTGAAATTAAAAAAAAAACTGACTGACTCCCTCGAATTCAAGAAAAGAAATGTAACTTTCATTAAGTTTCTGTTAGCATGTTCTGTAGAAAACTTTGTAATACTTGTAGTTATGGCTAATAAAGTTGCGAAGTTCAAATCAGAATTTGAGTTTCAAGATTTTCCAATTGATAAAGAGAACATTAAACATTTTAAAATATATTCCTAAAATTTATATGCAAAAATCAGTACTACGAGTCGGAGAAATCAGTACTACGAGTCGGAGAATTTAAAATTAAAAATTTCGAAAAAAACACTTGAATCACAGACTTGCTAACCAGTAAGAAACAAAATTAAATAGCACAAAAAAAATAGCCAAATTTGTTTGTTACACAGAATTGTGTCATAAACAATGTCTCCTACTGCAATAACTGACATTTACTCTAATAATTTACTCTCATACAGAGATGTGTCAATTCTATATGTATTTAATCAGGATTGATATTTTTAAGTTTTTATAATTTTAATGATTCATTAAAACTGAGTCTAAGTCTTTTCCATGCCAAACTTCTAAATAATTTAGTAAATGTGCATTTTATGAATTCCGAATATTTTTACTAATCTGTTATTGTAAATACAACGCATAAATGTTCGAAATATTATTTATATTGATTGCATGTATTTTACCTATGATTATCGGGTGTATAATTATGGATTGTCGTTCTTTTTCGATGTTACAAAAGAAATTCCGTGATATGTACTTAAAGTCAACAATATGAAATATGTACATATTTACAAAAGGGGAAAAAATAAAAAATTACAATAATAAAAAAGTCAGGATGTTTAAGAAAATAAAAAAGAAAAGCACCTACTTGGCGATGCATTCAACAAATTTTCCCTAAAAAAAAACTTTATAAGCATAAGTGTGTATTGGCATTAGAAAAATTGTCTTCTTATTGTTTTGTTTTTTTTTTTTCATTTTCAAACTGCTAATAGCTCAATTAGTTTTGTTGTTGAACTCAAATTCTCACCACACCTTATTGCATGACTTTTGCCCCTTTCCTTGAATGATTTTAGTTTTTTTTTAGTTGTTTTCTTGTTTAAAAAACATTCAACAAAAGAGACAATAAAAACTTTGTTTTAATGTCAGGTGCGTTGCTTAAACAACGAAAAAGAGTCCTCAATATATACACGTATTTTTTTTCAAAACATATGAAAAGTAATGATTCCTGACTGTGTTAAGGAATGAAATTGTTATGTTAAGGCTTTCAAATAGTTTATGGCACAAATTATAATAAGAATTTTACTTCGTGAAGTTTTGTTTTGCATTGAGAAAATTAAAATCAAATTTTAAAAAAAAAGGTTAAAATATATCAATTTTTTATCTAGAGTAGGTTCTCTGAAAGGTACAATGCGTTCTATATGGAACACGATATAGTGTCTGTTAATGTCTGATGTAATAATTAAGTAGTGTAGAGTAGCGATAAGTCTATTTGAGTCACATAATTATGAATTTCTAGTTATTTAGATAATTTTAATTTTAGAAATATTGCCAGTTTTATATTTATTAGAAATATACTAGAGATGTGTTGTAGGTTGAAAGAATGTTAGTTTCGATAACTTTGCTTCTTTCAAAATGCTTTTAATATTAAACTGCTTCTAAACACTTCTTACTTGAGTAAAAATAGGAAAATTTGTGCACATTTTTAAAAAAAAAATATACAGCTACTTAAACTGCTCTTATTATTAATGAAAATAATTGCATACTTTGCGGAGAAGGAAAAAATTACTAAATGTACAATTAGGTTAAATAGGATCAATAAATATAATTTTTATGTTTATGTATAAATATAATTTTTATGTATATTTACCGTTAGCTTTTTTATTTTATGAAAGTTTGGAAAAACTTCATCTTCGGAAAAGCAATTTTAATCACTTTTAGAGGTGATAATTTGACGGTAGAAAGAAATGTTTTTCTAACAAAATAAACCATTTATTAATTTCTGACGTTTGGACGTGCGAAAACAATGAGTAAGCACTTTTTTCCAGCTCAGTTAAAAAGTGCTAAAAGGTATATAGTTGACCATTTTAATGCTACGAAAACTTAATTTTCCTCCAATAATTCACGAAGAAAATTTAAAAAATAATAAAAAGAAACCTGCACAAAACTTTTAATCGAACATTATAACCGTAAAAGCAATTTCTGAAAACAAAAGCGCCAAATTTTTTATATGTGTACGTAATTATAAATATATCTCAATATTTTTAGATAATTTAATAAATCGATAACCCACATTTTATTTAATAAGTAGCAAAATAAAAGAACAAAAACAAAAAGAAGTTACAAAACAAGTAAAACACAAAACTATAAAAATAAAGGTAAATAAATAAGATGGAATGAAATGACTATTAAGAATTTACTTAAAACCAATTTTCACTTTAGTTAATTCAGTTGTACGAAACGAAATGCCGTCGAAGTACATTATTAAAAAACCTCCGCTATCTAAACCACAATTACAATGGTATAAAATCTTATTAGCCCATAGAGTTGGACTTAAGCCAAGAGAACTTAAACGTAGAAAATCTCAAATTTACTAGTAAGTAGCCCATATATAATACAAAATTATATTTTATAACACCCAACACATCAAGTATTTCATTCAAATATAATTATTTTAGTGGTTATAAGAAAATCTAAAATATATAAAAAAAAAAATGCAACAGCCACATTATTTTTTTATATTTTTACTACTTACTGATGGGCAATAAAATAAGAAAACAATAAGAGAATAACAATAATAAGAAAATTATAATTTCAGCTCCGATATTTGTGCATTACGATATTCTAAAAAGAGGTCAGAATATACACAACAAATATGCCAAGAAATTGAAAATTTAGAAATGATTCAACCGACTGCAATGCAAGCAATGAGATTTCATAGGTAAAAATTAGATGAAAAATAAAAATTATATAGAAACTTTTTTTATTAAGTCTGATGTAACCAAGAAAATTAAACATCTGTGTTTCTTGATATTATAATTTTTTATTGATTGATTACAAATTAATTACTGGACAATAAAAATAAGAAATTTTTATTTTGATTTTAGATTATTCTCCATTACAACATTATGGCCACCATTATTTTCTAAGAGTGACATTCAATGGACAATCAATACCTTTGATGATTTCATTTCACGAAAAGATCGCTGGCGTATTGAAAAAGTTTTAAATGGAGGAAATAGTCGTCTTCGATTTTAATAAAATATTAAAACGAAAAATATTAACCGAATTTTGAGAATAAATTCAAAAATTATAATAAATTACAACATTTACTAAAAAAATTTAGTGAATGTTTTTCTAATTTAATAGAGAATTTTGCGTACAAAAGGATGCTAATAATCAATATTTTAAATTTTTAAAAATTATTTTAATTTTGTTGTTTTCATCAATAAATAATTATACTTGTGTTTATTTCACAAAAACGGGATTGATTCACAATACTTGCTTTTAAGAATTCATAAGAAAAAGGGGGGGGGGGGGAAATGGGGAAAATTCATAAATAATAATATAATATATTTTATTATTTTAAGTATAACTCATTATAACAATTTCCAAAGAAAAGAAATAAATAATGGGGCCTGTTTTTTGAGTATGCATTCAAAACTAAGTTTTTTAAATATGAAATGAGACTGCTCATTTCGAATTTTTGTAGAGTACAACAATAGATTTACTGCTTAAATTAATCGTAAATTAGAATTGCATTGTAAAAGAGACAAAATAGGTTTTTAAGGGGTGCTAGAAATGTATTTGGTAAATAAAGTAAAAATATATAAATATTATACATATCTATATACTGTTGAGATTGAAAGATTGGTTACATGTGTTGAAAATCAAATTGATTCTCTTAAAAAAAGGGAAAACTTATAAGAACAAAATCAAATTGTTCCAGAAGAGTTTTCTGGATACAAGCAATGTCAATAAAATAAAGATGTAAAAAGGTTTTCCATTTATTATCGAGTACTCTAATGTACTTAACTCAGTAGAAATAAAGTTGGGGCTAACCAATGGTTTGAAAAGAAGCACTTTTCGTTTCAATCAATTACATTATTTAAATTATATATGCTTTCATTCATATACCAAAATATTTCAAAGAATGCATATTTTTTAGTATGAGCAATGTCTGCAACCTTTGAAATAGAACAAAAAAAAATTTAAAGAAGCGTGAACAGAATGCTCGAAAAGAAGCGTTAATTGCGTCAGTTAAAAAAAAATAATTATTTTTTTTGTTGGTATGGCATTTCCCGTTAGCTTTCTGCATTTATGAAAATTTGAAAAAGCTTCCACTTTCGGAAATATATGTATGGTGACGAAAATTCGAATTTTATAAATTTCGGTAGGATAACAAAATAAACCTTTTATTAGTATGTATGAGCTGCTAAAATTTCAGAGATCTATACATTTTACAGTCTTGATGAAAAACGATATAAAAAATTTGCAAAAAACGTGGTTTATGTAACGATTAATTTTAACGGCCATTTTCTCTTTTTAATATTGAATTGAATTGTGATCCGGTATAAAAAGCATGTCTCTACTTTTACGTTTGTAGTTTCGTTACAATAAATAGCAAATATTAAAAAATTTCTATTAAATATCTAATTTTGTATAAAACTTCAGCTTTCTGTCTCAAAATGTGTAGAAGTTTTGGAAACAGACAAACGAACGGACAGCCGAACAGAGTAAAACTGTTAAGCACTTTTTTTCAAAATATTTTTTGGAAAAGTGCAAAAAAAAATAAAGTAAATATTATGAAAAAAATATCCAGTTTGTTTAGAATTCTTTAAATTTTGAGACTATTCAACTTCAAATTATAATTATAATTTTATGATTTTCTTAATATTATTTTGTATCTGTAGAAAAAATGAGTTCTTAAATTTAAAAAAAAATTCATTAGAAATTATTGCAAATTGGATTTTATCTTAATGTAACTTCAATGTTTGTTACCTTTCATTTGCTAATCCAGTTATTCAAGCATTTAGGTTATTTTAACAGAATTATGTATGTATTTTACAATGTCTTGATTGTCAAATTTTGACACATAATAGTATTATTTGTTTTTATCCTTGACGTCCCCCTTGAATATACTCACGATTTTTTGTTGTTAAAAACTGTATTTTTAAACATACATACATATGTACATAATTAAAAATAAACTTTGCATAAAATTCAAATATTCCAAGTAAAATTTGTGCACGATTCATTTTACACCTGAAAACCTCGTTAAAATATTCTGAAATTCGGTTAAAATTGAGACGGCTTCTATAGCTTTACATAAGTTGGTTGTTATTGAGTTTATTTTCTTATAAAAACTTCCTCACATTGATTGATTTATTTTCATCCATTTTGTTATTCATTGAAAAATTTTAAATTTAATTTTAATTATTTCTATATTTTAATATTTATAATGTTACTCTGATCAAATTAAAATATTCTGATTTTGTATTGACAGCACTTTTATCTTCTTGAATATTTTTATATACATATGTACACATATGTATTAAAATTAATTTGAAATTCTATGTATGTATATATATGTATATCTATGTATCTATGTATGTATGTATTAAAATTAATTAGTGCACTAAAATTTTTTGGTTTATAAAATTTGGCTTTGATATATTGTAAACCAAATTTTATTATTTTTGGAAAGTATAATTTGCTAAAATATAGATATCCGGGTTTAAGGCTTGATTTTAAAACTTTTTATAATTTTTTTCGTTACTACATTGGTTTAGGTTGAGGTTTTTAAAGGGAATCATACACGCTTATAAGTTATGCTATAGGTTTAATCTATAGCCCCAAGGGTTGTGCTGAGCCGTTTATTCAATTAAGAGCCAGATTCAATTTTAATCTTTGTAAATAACAATAAAAAAATTTTAATCGGAAAGAAATTGGAATAGATTTAAATTCAGATTTTAAAAGGGAAATCATTTGTTAATGACATATGGGAAGGGATCGAAGTAGAAATAAATAATCTTCTACAGAAATAAGTTACTAGTAAAGTATTTCAGCTTTATATCTTAAAGAGTTTGGAAGTTTTGTAAACGGTACGGCTGAGCGAAATTAACAAGCACTTTTTTCAATTTTTTTTTTTTTTTGAAAAAGTACTAAAAACAATTTTTTTTTTTATTAAATCCAAACTTTGGACGTAATACTTGAAACGCATAAAGAAATTTATAAAGAAATTTCCAAAATTTCTTACAAAGTTTTCCTTAGGGTAACTAAAATCAGTTTTTCTGATTTATGTAAAATTAAAAATTAATTTTACATAAAAAAACATTTTTAAAATGCATGAATGAACAGTTTCGCTTAAATTATTTACAACAATTTGGTTAATTTATTCAAACGATTAATTTCTTTTAAAACGCATTACTAATACTTTCACTAATTCCTGAAAATCTTTAGAAATTACAACACGTTCTTACGCTAAATGTAATATTTTGTAATTTCACTATTTGTTTTTTTTTTCAATTTAAATTACATAATCTGGTACTGTTGTAATCAATGAACCCAACAAAAATTAAAAGCCGGAAATGAAAATAAGTCATAGGAAAATAAGAGTTAAAAATGTAAACAACTAAACAGTTGTTACCTAAAGCGTTATTCTGCAAAAGAAAAAGTTTCCAATAATTTGAAATAAAAATTCATTTACTTCTGTAAGTACAAATCAATTGTAGCGAGCAGTTTCTGATGGTTTTTAAATTATACTAACTTTGATGTAAAATTTACTGAAATTTTGAAAAAATAAAATTTATTACTTAGCTTCTTACTACAGAAAAGTGAAAATTATGATTTTTCTTTATTAAGAGAACTTATCGCTTACTTTTCAGGATCTTAAACTGAAATAAACTGTGGAAAAAAATGCTTTAACAACATAGTTAATTTTGGTATATCAAAATCTATAGTTAACATATTTGCTTAATAATTTGCAAATCATATGAGGGGTATTTAGAGTTCTAATTAAGCTTATAAGTAATACATGGAAATGTTTTGAAGTTTCTTTATTAACATTCTTGTTTTAATTCTCATAAAATTTCAATTCTTAAATTTTCTTTATCAAAACTACTTCATTATCTCTGACCACTATTTGGAAATAATTTAAGTATATATGTATGTATATGTATGTACTTAAAATTTTTATAATTTTTGATTCAATTCAGTCCAACATTTTTAAAATTTGGATATAATCTTCATAAAGTTTGTAAATTTCTTAACATAAGTCATCTAAATAGCTCTCTATACTGCAAATTTATTGAATTCAAATTTGATGCTTTTTTCTCTAAAGCGACTATACGATTAGATTTTCTTTTTACATACATATATACATATGTATGTATATTTATTTACATTTAGAAAATATTTTGATTTAAATATCAAAATAATATTAGCCTACTTCGTTCATAACTAAATGTAATTAAATACAATAAAAAATTTTGCATGATAAAAAAAAGAATTAAAATATTATTAATTATTTAAAACAATCAAATTTTGATACGAATCCTACAGCATTCTTGTCAGTTCCAATAAGATCCTATGAGCATTAACAACTACTTCGAGCACGCACTGTATATTTTTAATTGATAACGTGTATGATAACTTAATATTTACCAATGCTTTTGTATTGCATCACCCAGCCTACCTATAGTAAAATGTATTTGCGAGTGAAAATATCAATATTATTAATTTTAATGCAGCTTTGTGAAGGTGCATTATTGAAATCGCATAAAAATCATAAAAAATTATGTACTTTTAAAACAATTGAATAACGCCATAAATTTTCGAATTTTTCAAAGAATATTTCAAATAAATAACAATAATCGAATATTTTATAACTTTTTTTTTGTCTTAAACGATTCAAAACTCCATGAGAATTATGTCTAAGTATATGACATGCATTACATCATCAAAATGATCATGTATACAAAATTAACATATAACAATTCTACATACATAAAACGTATATTTATTTACAACAAATATATAATATATAAATGTGTATGTTTATTTGCAGCAAAACATTATTTTTAACCTCGTTTTTATTCCCAAAACACCGCCTAATGTCAATTTAACAATATGTACCGTATTGTAGTACAAAAAAAATGTTTATGCACTTAAATTCAATACGCTTTATGCACTTTGAAATACTTAAAATCTATAAGATCGTTAAAATGCATAAAAAGTTATAAAATTTAACAACAAAC